TGCAAATCACTGTATTAGGAATTAGAGAGTTTTGTCCCATTAATATGCAAACAGATTTTTTTAAGTGTCGAATAATACAAATTGTTGACAAAAAAATGGAAGTAACATTTTCTTAGTCCACATTAGCATGAGATGGCAAAGAAGGCATAGAATGTTACAGAGAAATTCACCAACAAATGGGCTGCCTTGAGAAAAGGAGTGACCGTATCTTCACTGTTAAGTTCTGTGGTGTGTAGGGTAATATTCATGTGTTTGCTTTTAGATTGAGCCCAATGTATGTCCAACAATTGTACAGCAGACACACAATCTGGTACATGTCAGAATGGTTGGGTTTACTGAGTTTTATACTCTGATTTAATCATTATGCATTGTATACACGTATCAAAATATCGTACATAGCCCCCAAATATGTACAACTATTACATATCAATTAAAAAAATAATAAAATACATACATCGATATAATTGCCATTGATATAGTCTGAGTTTGTGTCTCCTTCTATTGTCTGCAGCCTCACTCGGGAATGATCGTCTGCAAAGGAAAAGGGACAGAAAATAACAATTAACAAAAGCAATCTGGTAGGTGGCTCTGAGCCCCAGAATGTAAGCATATTACATAGAGATCACCCACATACACTCTGCTTTAAAGATAAAGAATTACATACTATACACCTTCTACTTCCTGTTTTGCTATTAAAATTGGGAAGGATTTATAACTTTTTACATTTTACAGTAAATCTCATTAACTTATGCTTTGATCATTGATGGGCCTAAAGCATTGACAAACGTTTGACACTTTTACAAACAATCCTGTGAACCACAAACATAAGTAGTTCTTGGATTGGAAGTTTGAACGACTTCACTAAATCACATACAAACCCTGAGATGTTGAAGGTTGTGACACCCAGCTTGACAAATGATGATTACAAACTCACAGCACAGGCTTCTGGGATGTGTAGATGTGATCCTAGCCTTAGTCACTGGTGAATTCCCTAAGTACTATCTCTGTATCTGCGGGCATCAGCCAGCAAGAGCAAAGCTGTCACCATCCATCATGCAACCACAGGCCAGGCAATAAGGGCACCAAGCCTCAGCCTCCTCATCTGGAGAAGGGGATGACACTATCTGCCTCAAAGTGGGCTGTGTCCAGGATTCAGTGAAAATACAAATTGAGACATAAGTACTATAAAGAGTTCATATTTATGGTATTAATTAGCTATATTTAAATATTTCCTGAGTAAAAAAATTTATCTGCAAGTACTATTGATGTATCTCAATCATTTCCTTGAAAATGTATATTGTATTTTATTTGTTACCTTAATTTTTTTGCACAAATGGGGTCTAGCTATGTTGCCCAGGCTTGTTTCAAACTCCTGGCTTCAAGCAGTTCTCCTGCCTCAACCTCCCAAATGCTAGGATTATAGGTGTCAGCCATAGCACCTGGCCCCAAATCCATATTTTAAAAAGGGATGTGCTTCATATGTTGTCTCTCATAAATGGGAGCTAAGCTAAGAGGGCACAAAGGCATAAGAATGATACAATGGACTTTGGGGACTCAGGGGAAAGGGTGAGAAGGGGGTTAGGGATGAAAGACTACACACTGGGTGTGGTGTACACTGCTTGGGTGATGGGTGCATCAAAATCTCAGAAATCACCACTAAAGAACTCATTCATGTAGCCAAACACCACCACCTGTTCCCCCAAAACCTATTGAAAGAAAAAGTTAAAAATTAAAAAAAAAGAAAGGATGTGCACCCTAAGGGCAGAATTTTCCTGCACTGATCACTGCTCTGTCCCTGGCCCTTAGATTAGAGCCTGGAACATACCAGGTTTACCCCCAAAATAACTTTGAAGAAATAAAAGGTGCATTGTTGTTTTTTGAAAATATACATCCTTTAAAAAGCATTTACCTAAATTACCGTTCCTTTTGGCAGAGGGACCCTTCCTTCCAATTAAAGTGTATGCTAAAACTCAGTATTCAGAACAGATAAAAGCCAGCTGCCCTGAAAGGAAAGCACAGGGCGGCCTGATAAGAACATTCCGGAAAACTTCACTTTCAGTGTTGCTGGAGCAGTGGGAAACCCTGCTTCTAAACCGTGACTGCCTTTTTCTAATGCTAACTTTACTCAACATTTCATTTGGGTTAGTGGGTGAGAAATGAAGCCCACAGCTTTTGAGATAAAAGCCACGAGAGCTGCAGATGACGGACGCTGTTACCCCCGGTCACTGGAGCAAGTATTGACCTGGACCCATTCCTTGAAATGCTAATGGGTGAAAGTCAAAATTTCATATTGATTTTTGGAGTTTAACCTCCTGTTGAGTAAATGTTTTGTTTGTTGTCAATAGCACAGGCAGAAGGAAATCGGTGTCAATTTTCTAACCTTCCTTCCTTGACGGGGCTTTCCAATTCATGACAGGTAGTCACATATTTCATGTCAGTGCCTCACCATTAGTTGGGGTGCAGTAAGTTTATCTGGAAACTTAGTGGTGACAAGTTGGGCCAGAGAAGGAGAAAAGCTGAGAGGAGGTCGTGTCTTCCTGCTCTGCTCAAAGGAGACTATGTGATGAGCAAGTTCTGGGGTCGAGTGTGCGGGTGAGAATTGCTGCTGGTGGGTTAGAATCCTTCACGTGTGGTTTTGGGCCAGTTACTTAATCTTTCTGTGCTTCCTTCACTGTAAAATGGAGATGAAGAGTGCCTACCTTGTGGGATTACTGTGAGCATCAAAATAATACACATAAAGAGATCAGAAAAAAAGCTACACGAAGGGATGGATAGATGTCAGTTATTATCATCATGTGCTATGTAATTGACACCCACATTTTTCTTCTTGCTGTTTTTATAGATGATGTCCAAGCAGATAACAGCAACCCCAGGAACAGACTCACTGGCAGTCAGAATGTTTCCTCATGGCAATCTGCTTTAAGAACCAATTTCCTAGGACACATTTTGCTGCTTAAAACCAGTGGCTCCCTATATATGTTTTGCCACTATTGGGGGCTGGGGGGAGGTGAGCAGGTGCACTAGGCACGTGTAGATTGTTATGGCTTTTGTGTATCTTAGGAGAGCCAGTGCCTACATGCAACTACTGCACAGAAGGGTGCCACAAGCACTGGCAATGCCATTTGAGCTTCAAGAATGAAAGAGGCACTCTAGAACTGAATCACGGCTACTCCACACACACCTGGCTTTCGTCAGCTCCTCTGAAGGGAGGTCAGGTTCACCTTCCTGGATACTCGGGCTTTCCCTGCGCAGGTTTTCAAAAGGCAGGCAACCGACCGCATTAGAATCGTGCAATCTAAGCAGGCCTGTCTCGAAGATCTGTTGTACCCCCTCGTCAGAATCCCCTCTATTTTGTGCTTTATTTCTCTGAGTGCCTCAGGATGGGTGCTGCTCATTCCCTGTGATTTACCACCTGTGGGCTGCTCAGACTATTCTGGAAGGTTCTCTTTAGGGACGCCAGTCTCCACCAAGACTGAATTCCTATTTCCTATCAACAGAGCCTTTGAGGTAGACTTTTACCATCATCTCCTACAGTTCCATCAGTTTACCCACACCCCAACATTTAACTTGGTTGCTACTTCTCCAGATTCAATTGCCCTTTCTCCCCTCAGGATGGAGAAACCTGTAAGACACAGTATAGCTGACTTCCTAACAGAATGAGACGGTGTTTGCCTTTATATACATGGTAGTATCTTTTTCTCTTTTATTGATTCTACTAGATTATAATGTCTTGTGGTCAAAGATAGTGTCACATACAATCTGAATATCCCTAAGAGTACCTTTCCCCAAGGCCACATACCCAGCTCCAAGAGACTCCATTCACAGCACAGAGGCACAGGCTGCAGTCCCACGTGCGGGGCCCTTCCTAATACACAGCAAGTGAGCAACAAGGATTGAACTCTTCCCCATGCTAATGAATGGGTGGTGGTCCAGGATCATCCAAGATACCCTGAATGGGTCCACAGTGCCTTTTCAAATTTCAGTTTTATTTATTTTTTATTTTTAATTAAAAAAAATTTTTTTTGAGACGGAGTTTTATTCTTTTTGCTCAGGCTAAAGTGCAATGGCACAATCTCGGCTCACTGCAACCTCTGCCTCCCGGGTTCAAGTGATTCTCCTGCCTCAGCTTCCTGGGTAGCTGGGATTACAGGCACATACCTCCACATCTGGCTAATTTTTATATTTTAAGTAGAGATGGGGTTTCACCATGTCGACCAGGCTGGTCTCGAACCACTGACCTCAAGTGATCCACCTGCTTCAGCTTCCCAAAGTGCTGGGATTACAGGTGTGAGCCACCATGCCCAGCCTAAATTTCAGTTTTAATACAGGCTTGTCTAATATTGTCAGAATACTGAGCGGCTTCATCTTCTAGAAATCTCTTACCTAATCATTCCTATTCATCTCTAACTGTCCAAATTCTGCCAATTTTTCAGTATTTAACTCACATGTTCCTGCCTCGGTAAGGTCTTCTCATTTATTCAGTGATTTTTTGAGTATCTGCTATACGCCAAACACCATGCTAAGTGTTGGGGATATGTAGTGGTAAACAAGTTAGATTCATGGTCCTTGAGTTCATAGGACTTAAGGCAATGGAAAACACATTAAACAGTCATTGCTTAAATAATGAGTTAAATACAATTTTGATAAGTGCTAAGGTGGAAAGGACAGAGAGCTATGAGAGTGAATGGCATGGGTCCTGACCTACTCTGAAGAGCTAGCCAACAATTCCCTAATAAAAGGACATTGAAGCTGAAACCATGAAGATAGAAAGTGGAGAGGGCAGAGCTCCTAAATTCCAAGTCCAGGAGATAGTGTGTGTTCAGGCCAGGAGGTAGGAAGGATCTAGTATGTTCAGGAAACCAAAGAAGGCTAGTGTGAGGAATGTGCTGTCAGAAGCCAGGGAGGAGAGTCGTGGGAAATGAGAACAGAGAGCAGGGAAGGCCAGGTCATCAGGACCTTCATCCTGAGCACCACGGAAGTCACAGGGAGGGGTATGCCTCGTTTCCTCAGATGCCTGCTATTGTTGAGGACGAACTGGAAGGGCTCCAGTTGGGTCAGTGGGTGTGGGGAGACAATGGGGAGGCTACTGCAATAGTCCTGGGAAATCAATGGCAGCTTAGCATACAGAGGGCTAGTGGACAGGGCCGAATCTGAGGGGTATTGAGCGGGTAGGACTGACCATAATGATGTGGATGAGAAGAGGTATCATGCTGACTTCTAGGATTCTGACCTGAGAAACAGGGCAGAAGATGGTGCCATTGACTAAGATGTGAACCATGGAGAAAAGCCAGCTTGGGGTGGGTGATGGAAATGAGGAGCACAGTGTTGGATATATTTAATTTGAGGTGTTTACCATCGGAATAGAGATAGAGAGTAGGTGGTTGGGTATAAATTCTCCTTCCTTAAATGTCAATAGTCCTTTGATTTCCCTTTTTGGTGCTCTTATATATGGTTATCTATAGACATGACTTATTTCTCCTGCACATCAAAAATACTTTAGCTGGATGTGATGGCATATGCCTGTAGACCAA